TGCTGAAACTTGTGATCTATTTTTGGCACTATTGACCCGTTTGTAAATAATTCAGAGATTGCTTCTTCTTCATCAGCAATGAAAAACTGTTTTACAGTTTGTTCATTGTTGCTAGCAAGTGCTTATTCTGGAAACCAATGCATCTCTTTACTCTAGACACTTGTTCTTTTAGGGCTTATTTGAGAGTGATTCTGAAAGAGCCAATAATCACTTTTATGGAGAATCACTTCTCCAAATAATCATTTTAAGTGATTTTTTGGAGAAGTACATGGAAGATGCTTCTTCCCAGTCTCCCAAACAAGCCCTATTTATTTATTTATTCAGAGGAGAGGGAGGCAAGGATCAAAATCTTGCTAGGTGTAAGATTAGCGATTTGTTTGGATCCATTAGTTTTTTATTCAATTGGGTCATGGCTCTGGCGTTGGTCATTTCAAACACGAGGATGAGAGGATGAGAGAATTCGGAAATACAGAAATGCAAAAAAGATGAATCCATTGAATGATATTCCCAATTACATGTGCCTTGACTCTTTGGACCCTTTGCATATGAAATTCACTTCGGATTTAGATCACATACGTGCAGGTGAGCACAGTGCAATTCATGACTCGTTCTTTGTTTTTCATCCTGGTTGACTTTGCTGAGTATTTGTTTTTTAGTTGTAGGTTTTCTTTTCGTTTCTTCAAGTGTTTCTTGTGTTTTACTTGGGATTTTGATTACGTTAGTGTAAACTGGGTGTCCCTCTCGTGGTACAAGCGGCCCCAACTCAGGTTAAGTTTTAAGGCTTTACACCAAATCGCGTGGTTGAGCTATCTTCTGGAGATGATCTGCACACTTCAAATAATTATTAGAATATGAGCAAACTGCTTGTATCCTAGTTGAAACCCCTCCGATGACTAAGTCAGAAGTAGTTTAAATGTGAAGAGCAAAGGGTATTTATGGGGGGAGAAGGAGGGATAAATATCTAAGGAGGAGATATTTATCTCTCTCTCCCCCCATGGTGGGATTGAAATACATTAAATGACTTTTCTTTATCACGATGCTGTCTAACAAGGATCAAGTGGCAAAGCGACACTTGGCTTTGGATGTGACGTGCATTAACTGATCCTTTTCCATCGCCAGGCTGTTTAGCAGGGAATAAGGAGATAGGCGACACCTGGCTTTGGATGTGAGGCACATTAATTTATCCCTTTCCATCGCCAGGCTCGCACTCGAGCTCATGGGGTGACTGACTCGACAGGGGTCTAGTCGTGTCAGAATATCGATACACGTCTATTGTCTCAAGGTATCTCAGTGGTCGGGTCGGTGTGCAAGTTCTTGACCACTGGTTCACACGGCATCTCTTGATGGGCTCGACTAGGAGTATCTTTTATTGATAGATCTGCCCGAGTCGGTATAATGACGACCTGGTCTCTGGTAGCCACATGGTGCTCTCCAATAGGCTCAGTTCATAACGACGATATGAACTATCAACATTGAGTATTGTTTTCTATTCTTATTTTCTTTTGGAATTTCCATATATTATAACTTGTGCAGACGATGGACGAGACTCTGGAAGAGTGGCTTTCTGCTAAGGTTGCTTCTGACGGGCTTGTGACCAACTCGGTAAAAAACCATAGTGCTTATAGTTGGAATAATTTCAAAGTGAAATTGGAAATGCAATTTTCAGGTAAGAAGTTTCTTTATCTTACCCTATCTAATTTCTCGCATTCGTCATACTTTAAATGTTGAAATATTTAGGACAATATTTTATTTAAGTTTGTGGTAGGATTTAGAAATTGTAGATGTTTTAGGATTTAATTTTGAAACATTGAGGACAATATTTGAGAGTCGTTGGCCTAAAACTCATTACACGGGTTAATTAGAAACCTTTATTTTTTTTTTTTTTTAAGGGACGAAACTGAACATTGCATGGTCACCAAGTTATTAATATATATATATATATATATATATATGCCTTGGTTTGTTATTTGCAATGAAATTTGACAATAATTGAAATAATGGGGTTAGTGTGTTGGTCCACATTACACCAAAGGAAAAAAATGAAAATTTTACTAAATGGTTATAAGTGTCTTCGACTTTAAGTTGGGATTGGTTTTCAAAATGTGTTTGCTCTTTTAAAAATTGCCATGAGTTGAAATTCAGATTTTTCTTGCTTTTTTATTCTTTTTTATGATGGTTGGGCATTTGAAATAATTTTTAAGTTTGATAATTTAACTTCACATTTCGATGTTTGTGGGTATCATCACTGTAAATCCACAAGACTATAACTCATCCACTAGGGCAACCTAGAAGTTTAAAGGCTTGTTGCATACGCTAAATGCAATGGAGATCCCTATGAAAGTGGCTTAGTTAATTTTCATTTATTCTATGTTTCTAATTTTTGTTTTGCTCTAAGACTAGTTGTTGAAGGAAATAAAGGCTTTTATTAATTTAGTTCAACCCATTCAAGATAGTGATATCTCTTAATTACAATCCTTTATGATGAACATCAGTTCATTGGGATTTATTTGAGATTTCTAGTGGTGGATGTTTGAATAGAGATTTGGTGTTAGGATAAACCAAGGATTCAAATTTGATTGTGGTTGCATCTAGTGGGATGTCAGACTACCTACGTACCCTAGGCGAAATCAAACCAACATAGTTCAAATATGAGTTTTTGATGATGAAGATTTATGTGGTTTTGTACAACTTAGGCTTTGATTTAGGATTTGGGGAATTAATGGGTTTTTTGGATTTGAGCCCATTAATCCGGAATTTGTGTATTTGAAAACTTGAACCAATTGTTTGCCAATTGAATTTTCAATGGACAAGTCAATTGGGCTCTGAATGAACTCTTTGCACCAATTGGCACTTGGAACCCAGCAGCTGCCTCCATGGATCAATTACTTGTCGATTATGAGACTTCTTTGATGGGGTTTGGACCTATTTTTTTGGTCTGTTCACAACAACCTCTTTTACATTGTATTTTGTCCCAAATGCACATGTAGGTGCATGAACCAAAGAAACAACCCAATCTTGTTCTTGTCTTTATGTGCAGCAAGAAAATTTTAATTTGCAATCCAAGCTGTGAAATAAGGATTAATTGCATATTTTTTTTCATCCCTAAAATTACTTTAGCTTAGTTTTCTTTGGATTTATTGCTTTGTTTTTGTCAATTTTGATTGTCTAGATATCAATAAGAAATAAGGATATTTTGGTGTTCATTATTCTTGAATTGGCACAAGTGCAACAACTCTCGGAAGAAGCTCTTACATGTCAATGTGCTGCAAGGTTGATGACATTGGGGTGAATGGCAATGACAAGTGGGCTACCGTATGAATGAAGTTTTTGAACACCAGCTCGTGAGAACCTTGCAAGAGAGAAGAATGGGCTATTACTATGCTGTTTTTGTAAGGCAGTTAGGACTTTTTATTTTTATTTTTATTTTTAATTTTTATCGCTGGTTATTTAGATATATTTTGTTAGATTAAATCCAAACCATTGAATGTGCTTTAATCTAATGATTCATATTGTGTGTCATAATGTGTGTCAAAAATGTGTGTTTCCGAATCCTGACCCTATTTTGTATGGTTCACCATGTCACTCGAGCAGGTATTAGTTTCCTTGTCCCTGTTTGTAGCAAGGGACATTTTGGAAAAAGCAAAAGGAGAGAGAAAAATTTTAAAAGAAGTAAAAATGGACAAAAATGCCCTTATTTATTTTTAGATTTCCTAATAAATCCAATACATTTGCATGTCTTTGATGTGAAAGTTGAGTGGTTTTTTTGTCTTTTTTGAAAAAGCTTTGGCTTTTTCCAAAAGTGAAAAAAAATTTATGTCTAAAACCTAAAAAACCTTTGTAGTAGAGTAGCAAAGCACTGTATGACTATACGACTATGCACCAAAAAGAATCAAACTTTGCAGTCCAAACTAGCTAGCTGGTTGGTCCAGCTTATTCGAATATTTCTCTGTATGGTTCATCCTACTTTGTCCAAAGGGAACAAGTGAAGTATCCCGTTATATAAGAAACTTGATCAACAAAGTAACTAACTATTCAACTTGAAGCTTAGTTTGCCAGAAGCTGGGCAGTGGTTCTATATTTAATAAAAGAAATATAAGAAATTTGTTAAGAGATGAAGGAGAAAAGAGTAAGGCAGGTAAAATTAAGCCAAGAAACCATTTACAACTGTTCAGTTTTTAGTTAAAAAAACAGATACGTCTCTTTCTTTAATTTAGTAGAATAAACCCGGACACGAAACAAATTTGCACAAAATATTACTTGGATCGGGCTTAATGGGTCATGTTGAAAACAGGTAGCCACTAGTTAAACTAACGTTAGCTGGTATTCATTAAGAGGGGTATTTTTATAATTTTAATACAACTTAATCAATGAAAAACTTAAAATAAAATATGTTAAAAATGAAACCATCTCCAGACAAAGTTTAAGAAAGAATCTTTTATTTTAAAATAAAATATGTTAAAAATATTAAAATAAAATATGTTAAAAATTTAGGCATATATAGTTTCCATCCAGACACAAGGTAAGGCGCGGCGGGGGGGGGTGGGTGGGGAGGGAGGGAGGGAGAGAGGTTGGGGGGTGTGGTTGCATGCGCTTGTGTGTGTGAGTGTGTTTTTTTTTCGCGTCGTGTCATTCTCGAATTGTAACGGGTTGTGTTTCTATCGGTTATTTTCCACCCATTAATTTAAAGGGTTATTTCACGTCAACTAATTAAAAAAAGGGAGTTTCACTAAAACACCCAAGATGGGAGATGAAATTATAAAAAAACCCAACACCCAAAACACTTTATAAACACACCCAAAAAAAAATACAATTGTTGACTTTGGGGTTGATTTTGGATGTGTTTCTATGTTTAAATAGTGTTTGAGTTTTTTTTTTATAAATACATGTCTAGGATTGGATTTATTTATAAATTTGTATTAAAAAAAGCATGTTGACACGAACATGGCAAATATGACTTTTTTGCCAGGTCTAACAAAATGATGAAGATTGGAGCAATGCTCTTATTTTTGTCAACTTTCTAAAGATGTTTTATGAGCCACATTGAAGATGAGTCTTTCTTTACATCCGGCTTCCAACACCACCTTTGATGACTTGATTGCAATGAAAGGTGAAATTGAGGATTTGGTCATGAGAGATTATATGATGGAAATTGAACCCCATACTTCCAAGCCAGGGTATTGAATGATATGACATAAAGCATGAAGAAAAAATTTGAGATGTATTGGGATAACATAGATAAAGTGAACCAACTTTTGTTGGTAGCACTTGTGCTTGATCCTTGATTCAAGTTGGGCAACTTAAAGTTTGTCTTGAAGAGTCGGTATGAAAGATCGAAAGATGCTAGTAAGAAGAAGAATGATGTGATAGTTTTATAATGAAACTCTATGAAGAGTACGATATCCCACAACCACCACCCACTCATGAATCTAGTGCTCTACTAGTGAAGCTATTAATACTAGTACCACTTAGAATGCAATTGGTGGAAAATTAGGTAAAATAATCTCAATCAAGTGATGCCGAACCAACTTTTTTGAAAAAATGGTTCCCAACTTTGACATTTTGAAATGGTGGAAATTGCATGGAGTTAAATATCTAGAGTTGTCACTTATTGCAAAGGATATACTTAGAATATGAGTCAACCATTCAAGAAATGCAATTTTATGAATCAATTGAGTCAGTTACTAGTTTATGTTTTTATGTGATTTAAAGTTTATATTTTGTAGATCTTAGAAGCTCATCTGCACCAAACAATTCAACCCATGCTACTTTCCAGTGAGACTGTATTAGAGGTATGGAAATAAGAAAGTAAATTTAGGTTTTAGTCACAAAAAGACTTTCACTTTTGGAAAAAACCAAAACTTATCCAAAAATGATAGAAAAACTCATCAACTTTCAAACCAAAGATATGTAAATATAAAAGATTTCTTTGGAAATCCAAAAATAAATAAGGGCATTTTTGTCAATTTTGGCTTTTTTTTCAAAATATTTCTCTCCTTTGGCTTTTTCCAAAATTTCCCGACAAGACCAAGTCTTGTCTTCATGATTGAAGTATGTAAATTCACAACTGATGGTGTTACTTGGTTTATACTTGATATTAACTCACAAGGCTTGAGTCGAATATCAAATTGAGCTTTCACAAGGACATTGAGCTTTCATTCCAGCAAGTTGAATCGAATCTCTGTCTAAGCAATCCAACTTACAACACAACAACAAAATATTGCTGGAATTGCTTAGACAGAAATTTAATAGTCAATATTCTTTTGACCAAAAGATAAAGCACAGCTTTTCTAAGATCTTCCCCATTCCAACGACCATCTTGAATAAATTACAAACCTTTAGGTCCCAATCAATATTACTCTGCTGAGAGACATCAAGGAATGGAATAGAGGAAAAAGGACTCAAATACGAGTCCAGGAAAAGATAAGCTCACCATTACCAACGGTTCATTACCATTACAAAGTAGATCTCTAGCCTCCGAAATTGCTTTCCAGGAGCAGCAAAAAAGGAGTGATGAAACTAATAAATTTTTCATACAAGTTGAACTCACCATTTTTGAGGCAATTAAGAACATTCCAACCCAATTTTGCAAGAGCTGCAAGGTTAACAGATTTCCTTCCAAGCAATAGGAGGGGCCCTATGTCCATCCTTTCTCCAGAAAAATTACCGAGACAAATTATTAAGACAAATTACCAGCAATATTAGAGGAAATCTGGGGAAAGGATGGAAATAGGGGCCCTATTTGCAATAGGAGCTGCAGTAAGTTACCTTTCCAAGAAGAGAATTTCCTCTGAGCAGTCCAGGAAATCCGAGGTATTAAAGGAGTCCTTCCACTTCAGGATATTATTTATTCCAAGATGCCTTTCCAGAGTAACTTTATGTTGTATTTGCTAAAATTGGACCAATTGTTGTCGGCAAGCATTAGAAACATTTTTGGAAAAAAGGAAAGGACTTATGGAAGCTAATCCTTTGTCCAGTTGCTAAAGCAAAGAGAGGTAGTAAGGTAGAAATCCTTCTGGCCGCCTTCACTGTCGCCTCTGCAAAGAAAAGTAGCAATATCTCATAGTACATACAGTAAACTATGCATGTAGCCAGTCCAATCCTAGTCACCAAACATGGCCGATAAGAATTGCATGAAACAAGTGAAATTCTCTTCATCTAAACGCCATCTAGAACACTACCTATAGCTTCAAAAATAATGGAAGCCAAACTTTCATCAGCAGTACTAATAACAGTGCTTGTTGTTCTGATTTCTATAAGAGCTTGGTTGGGATCATGGACATGTACTAGAGAAGCACTTTCTGATTCAGAACCAAATGCATCCCCAAGCATTGCCTTGATGCCCTTGTTTGATAACACAACCAAAAGCTTCTCCAAATCAGGTGAACCCCAGTGTACCAGCGGTCTACTCTCTGGGGACTCTTGATTGCCAGTGGACAACCGTTGTCTGCCATGATCTACGCAGAGCTCTCCCTTTAACCTCGTCATATTAATATTTTCTTGTTTCAAGTTCCTCCAATTAAACTGGGAAGCTAAGTCTGTTGCAATCTCTAGTTCTGAATTGTTCTTCAAGCTTGGTATATGTAACGTTTCATTAACGCAGTACTGAAAGGTCGAGCATGAATTTGATTTCAAAGAGCTAATCTGCTTCAAATCTTTAGGTAGCTATTTTGAGCAGAAAATAACAGGGGACTTATTAAAGAGATGAAATCTAATATATAAACAAGGAAAAAAAAAATTTGATTATACAAAGAGAACAAAATGGAACTACCAGAACAACTTTTGGTTGCAATATCTTCAGCAAAGGTTCAACATTCTGCAACCTACAAAAAGCAAATATCCCGATAGAAGAAGTTAAGATGAATTCAGAAGTTGCTTAACATTTCAAAGAAGGAGTTGTTCAACAGAGTGATAAGGGGAGTTAACATATTAAGAATGCTAAATCTTGTTTTTTGGTTGAAATTTGTGTTCTTTTTTGGGTAGAAAGTTGCCTGCTAAGTGTCAAGACAAGTTAGTAGTTACAAAGCAGATAACTTGTAAACAAAAGCCCTTCTAAAATGAAAACAAAACAATATAACTGATATGCCTTCTGACTGGAAAAATAATACTCATTTTCAAACATGCAAAACAGCTGTCAGTGCCACAACTTCACACGTTACTCACATTTGGAGCCCAAAGGCTGCTGATACATTTACGATATTAGCATAGCATGTCAGAGAACTCTATACGCCCAGCAAACGTTCACTAAAACCAGTGGTTTCCTCCACTCCAATCATCCATCATTTCACAATTTCATGAGGTTGATCCCTATGGTTTGCATTTATACTTTCAAACGTTCTGTGGAGTGTAATCCACATGGGTTGGTGCTTATTATGGTATTTGGTTGTTGTTAAGATTGCCACATTACAATAATATGAATAAATCAAAATGTTGTGTCAGTTTCAAGAAAAGAAGACAAACCCTACCTTATGCCAGAGAGAAATGAGCATTCAAGAACCTTCATTTCCATAGGCTTGAAAGGCAAGAGAGCCAGATCAACATCCGGTCCACTCTGCAAATCAAGCAGTAACAATTTAAGCATATATAGTTTCCATCCAGACACAAGGTAAAGATGCTTTCTTAAACTTTTAAATTTTTTTTTTTTTTCTGAGAACTTCCTTGAACTATTTATGTACACATGTGAAGTTCAACAGCCAGTGAAAGTATATAGTAGCACCTCAAGAATGAGTAGAGAGTTTTGATCCCCAGACCAACGCTGGAGCAAATGAACAGCAGGACCTAGCCGTAGACTCCAGTGAGGAGAGAAAACAATGCATGGTTCCTGCCAATTCATTCTATCACAAATGTCAATTGTGCATCTTTATCACAACTCACAAGTATTCTTACTTTTCTTTTGGCATACATTGATTTCTGATTAATATCCCCAGAAGGACAGGAAATACACTGCTTCCTGTCGTTTCCCCTTCCACCTTTAATCATGACAAATCTCATAATAGGTGAGCAACAACATTTGGGCTATATGAAGCAGATAGTTTCCCCATGTTTGGCTTAGGAATGAAGAAAGGAAAAGATAATAATATAATCAAGGTCCCCAACTTTCCATTTTTTGGTTATTAATGAAAACGAAAAAAATAACTGAGTTTCATCCCAAACTTCGTCCACAAAAGAGGTGAGATTGAAGTGATAGTTGGCTAATAGACACAAAACTTGATAAAATCAGCCAAATCGAAAGCCATTAATCTATGCAAATCTCATTTAGGCTAAGGTATATAATGTAGAAACTGTATATTCAATTATAATATTTGAGATATTACAACCAATATTTATACACAAACTATTAAGATATTTCCTGCCTGGCTCCGCAACTGGGCTAACATACAAGTCAAATGTACCTAGGAAACACAACTCTAGGTACCCGAGAAACATAACTCTACTTAGGAATCACCCTGTAGGGAGGATAAAGAGAAATAGCAATGTTGTAAAGAGGAATGAGAAAGGAAAATAATTCAGACAAGTGCATTTTTTAAAATTTTACTAATATAATAAAGATGAGGAATGGAAACAAAAGAAAATTCATCACATGGAAAGCAGAAAGGGATGCATGCAGAGAGAAAAGAAGGAATATTTGAAGGGAATAAAGGGGTTAAGAGAGGATGCAGCACAACAGTAGAGGATAGGAGGTGAAACCAACTTGGGACACAAAACGAGAGCATGGGCAAGTTTGAATTTCAAAGCACCATAGAAACAATAAGGTATGGGGAAGAAAACCACAGGGGAACAGAGAAGTAATAAAGAAAAGATTATCACAAGAGGATAGAGGCCCATATAGATTAAAATAAAGAGGGATGATTGACCCAAAAAAACAATAGTAAGAAATAAAGGAGGAAAAACCAAGTGAGACAGAGAGGAAAAGAGAGTGTGGGCAAAACACAAAGTTAAAATCCTTTCAAAATAAAGATGGAAAATGGAGAGAAAGAAAGAGAGGAGAAAAGGTAACACTCATCAAAAGGAGAAAGTAGTCAAGAGAGGGAGAGAGAACAAGATGCAAGAGACAACCCATGAAAAGGAAAGGAAATTCAAGAGGCCAGAGACAACCCATGACAAGGAGAGAGACAACACAATTGAAAAGAAGAGAAGAGAATACCCCAATAACATAAAAGAATTATAAAGAAAAGAAGACAGTACCCTTGTAACAGAGAAGAAGAAAGGCAACGCAAGAGAGCATTGAAGAAGACAGAGACCAAAAGTAAAATCAAAGAAAGAGACTGGGCATAAGAAGGGAGGAGAAACACAGGTTGAGCATAGATAAAGCGTGAGAGGCCGATACCAAGGCAGCAACACAGTGAGAAGGCTTGAGTGGCCGATACCAAGTCGGCAACACAGAGGAAGAAACAGGGGCTGTGCAAAGGGAACACCAGCAGTGTAGCATGACAGAGAAGGCTCGGCAAGCGTTGACGAGGCTCACGGAGGAAAGAGAGATGGCTCGGTGAGCGATGACAGGCAGCATCAACAAACAAGGAGAAAGTATGGAAACCACAATAGAAAAACCATCAGAAATACATGAGAGAGAGAAACCATCAGAAATACATGAGAGAGAGAAACCACGATTGCATACTAGGATAAGGCTTGGTGAGCATTGACAAGGCTCGCGGAGGGAAGAGAGACAGCTCGGCGAGAGAGACGGCGCAAGAGAGACAAAGAAGGGGACAGAGATTTCAAGAGAAAGAGAGAAACCAAGAGGGTAAGGAAAAGTTCAAAAAGCTTATGAGACAAAGACGTGGACAAAAAAGGGGAGCTTATGAGAACAAAAAGCTCAAGAAGGATAGGCAGCGGCTGTGCAAGAGAACAACAATGGCAGGATAGCACAACATGAGAGAGATAAAGGCCAGTGAGGAGACAATCCACAATGAAGACGGCGCAATGGAGACACAAAAATAACGGGCTAACAGAAGAAAAGGTTGCAATGGTAAAAGAAAGGTGCGGCTACAGCTAAGGTGGAAAGAAAAAAAACATATTCATCTTTGAGAAGAGGAGATGAAAAAGCACTATACATAAACAAACACCCTTAAGGGTAAGGAATGAGGAATGCCAACAACTCTCAATGTTGGCAATTGGAGGATCGCTAATCGGCGTTAGCCATTAGCTCTGATACCATGTAGAAACTGTATATTCAATTATAATATTTGAGATATTAAAACCAATATTTATAAACAAACTATTAAGATATCTTCCTAATGGTTACAATGAAACGGAAAACCCATTATATCCTAATAAAGGCTAATAACAACATAACAGCTAAAACACTAATGTATTGTCATTAAAGACCCTTAACTATGGTAACTCCCGTAAACCCCTACCATATAAGTTCTGAATATTGACTCCACAACAGTGACCATGAAGAAATATTCTAAAATAAGGACAAATGTGGAACTCACAATAATTTAGGTGAATGAACTGCCGGAAACACATGAAGCTTCTTCTCATTTACAAGCTTGGCATGTGCAAACAATGGCTCACCAGAAAAAAGCTGCAAGACCAATTAAAAAAGAGTGACTGCAATGTCTTAAGTTGGCAATTCTAACAATTAAATGAAATCTCCAAGCACAATGTGATGAATAATAAGCTCAACATTTTTACCTTTTCTTGCCGCTGTTTGCATAGCCATTCAGGTATGATGTTGGAGAAGGCCAAGAATTCTTCAGCTAGAGAAGAAATAATATACATAGGAACCTGAAACAAGACGAGAATTCCACATATGCTCCATTATATGCCATAAAAGTAACACTTTGCCACATTTCTGTATCGAAGACTATTATGTCTCAGCATGTAACTAATAACCTCTAAAATTTTATAGAACTCCTGTTAAGCATCATCTTCTAGAGAAATACAATTAGTTAATTTCGATACATCTGGTAGGACTTAAAACACTGAAGCAAGTAAGCAAAAGACAAAAAAAATTTATAGATACCTTCAAAGTTGAAACATCTAGTGAAGTTGATATCTGTTCTAACAGCAGCAGAACAATTCCAAGTCGACTAATGGGAATAAGGACTGAACCTCCAGCTTTTACGGAATCAATGACACAGGAGCATATAAAAGCTAGCTTGTCCCTTTCCTCCAAACCCTCATCAACATTAAGTAAGGACTTGGCCAACTCTTGACAATCATTTTCATAATTTCTGCACGCATCAATTCCAATAGTTTAAAGCTTTGATTTTCACATTTTGAGGATATTGACTTAGAAAAGTTAAAACCTTTATACCAATAAAGAACAAATCTGGAAAATTTATCAAACCTCATAAATAAATAAATAAAGATGGCAAATGCTATGTAGGCGTAATACCTGAGAGATGACCGATTGCAAGTAGTTGGAATGGAGTTATCATAACCACTCTCAACATCTTCCGTACCATCCGAGAATGAGAAGTCTGCCATCCGAGAATGAGAAATCTGAATATATTATTATATCATTCCCTCTAAGAGCATTGTAATCAAAATTCATTGCATGAGCAGAATCAAAGATGGAACTTGAAATAAAGCCAACGCCTCCCTTGGGACCATTTATTGTCCAATTACAAGAGCCTATTTCTAAACCCGAACTGAATGCCTTTATGATCAATGTGCTGTTGTAGCAGATTTCCTCTGCATATTTAAGTCTCAGAACCTTCTGCATGCAATCCTTCACATCAGCTGCACTGAGAAGTAGACGCAATCTCTATTACATTCTCATATAGAGACTTGCTATATAGATATTTCAGACAATATGAGGGGTAAAAAACAACCAAGTATATTAGTCAGACAGTGTTACATCCAGATATGTCAATTTGAATCACATCCTACTAACCACCTGAAAAATAGCTCAGACTGAAGTCTAGTAACATAACATGTCAGACTGTCTGACAAGAGAACATTTCCTTGATCTACACCCTAAGGAAATTTCATCGATTCAAAGTTAGGAAAATGTCAAAGAAATTTAGCTTCTTCTCCATCACCTGCCAATGGAGAAGCTGATGATGACAGCAATTCCAGATCACAAATTTATAAAGAGGTTATCTATGTAGAGGAAACATGTCCAAGTGCAACAGCATGCGTAACAAGACTCTTTAATTAGATACAACTTTCTGGCAGTTGGCATATTCCACCAAGAAAATCTTTTTTTTTTTGGTCAAGAATTTTTTTCTTTTTTTAGTCAAGAAAATCTAATCATGAAACAAACAACATTAACTATTTGGGTGGAATATTAATTTACCTGTACAAGGAAAGCCAACCACCCAGTTCTCCCCCATCTTTGCCTAAAGCTACATTTTTCAATGAAGACGGAAGAAGTGTAAGGTCTTCCCACTTCATCCACTGGGGAAAAGACGACTCATCAGGTCCAAAAAACTGCCTGATTTCCAGATGCATTGAAACAAGATCCTCCATCATAAGCTGTCCAAGTCTTGCTGCTGCTTCAGTCACATATATCTGACACATTTTAAGCACCAAAAAAAACTACTAAAACCAGATTCAATTTGGCAGAAACGTCAGAAGTCAAAGTTAACAACTAATTAACAACTAATTCCTTAATGTATTTACCTTAGCAGAAAAACCCTTCATTCGAGTAAGAAATGGTAATCCTAGCATACCCGTTGGACTTGATATCAATACCACATCAATAAAAGAGACATTCCACAGGTGCAAGTTCTTGACAGTTTTGTACCAAGGCTCTGCATAAATTAAATCATCGGCATCCAGGGGCTTTTCGACTTTTTGTCTCTTCCGAACCATAGGCTCCTCCAAATCTGAAGAATCACTACGGTTTGGGCAACTGGGATTCTCTTTATCGAAGGAACTGGATTTTGAACTAGTAGGAATAGGGGAGAAGATTGTAAGAGCTGAAAGGTCTAATGGGCAATCCAATAAAATGCTAAAACCACATATGTTGAGTATGTGACATGGTGGGAAATGGTAACCACCACCTTTGCTCAAGCAGGACTGAAAAAACAAAACAAAAAACAGAATCATAAAAATAACGTATAAAAAATAATCCCCACAATTTTTTTTAAATATTTATATATGAATAATCCATATGTATGTAAATATTGACAAAGAAACTTACAAACTTCATTGGCAACACACGAACACTGGAGCTTTCCCCTGCAACAATAACTTCTAATCATTCATGAAGAGAAAAGAGATTTAACTCTTGGGTGCTGAGGCTGTATATTAAACTAGGATCCTCCATTCACATTCACTTGAAAACCTTTTTTTTCTCCTTTTGGGAAATAGTCTCAAGCTATAAACCTAAACAAAGCAATGAGGGTAAATTATGAAGTTCATCAACCAATGAACTAAGTAGTAAATAGGAAATCCCAGTGAACCCTATAATGCTACAACAATCAATGCTTCAACATAACCAGGAATTAATACTATAATCTTATTCAAAGCTAACCCTGAAGATATCAAAAATCGAAGTGGGTATTAATGATTCAATAGCTGAAGCAAAGTAGAGGAAAAAGAAACAAAAGAATAAGGAGGAATGAGGGCAAAGTTAAATTACTTTTGAATCAGAACCCCCAATTCTGCTCTGCTCTGTCCTTAGGATATTTCGGCAATAAGCAGTCAGCCAAGTCGGCCAAGCAAGGTGGTCAAGTGACCCCCCAACGCAATAAACCGCCGCCTGAGCCAAATTTCTTGAACCCCGGACTGCTGGAAGTCTAGGCAAGCATTGCCCCCCAAATGTTCGACGTTTTGCCCCAATGAACCAACAGGCACTTGTCAAAAAAAAGAGTCTGGGGAAACATCAACATCAAAAGGTGGGGCAGGTTGGGTGGTCAGAAACCATGCTGGTTTGCTGTTGAAGGCAAGGAGGGCTTTAGTCAATCTGCTCTCATGGCGGAAGCAGAAGCAATACAACAGAATAGAGGTGGAATCTGAATGTTCGTGCTATTGGAAAGGAATCAGATTTTTAGGTTTAGGGAGCCTGGATTTCTGCTGGAATTTAAATTGTCCAATAACAAGTTAATGAGGGGGAGAGAGTGGAAGTTTTAATCTTAACGATGTTGATTTGTTTTGAGGAGATTAGGGTTGGAGCAAAATAGCCTCTTGACACCCTCACATGCGAGCCAATCAGGTTTTTTTCAAAATTAATATATGTTTTTTTTTAATCTGGATGGGCTCCAACTATGGATGGCACCTTTAAGCCTTAACCACAACCCAGACTAATCCCCGTTCACACCGGGTCGGCCCGTAAGGAGTAAAGTGCTGGCCAAAGTGGTGACTCCATACGAGAGCAGGGATCGAACCCCTGACCTCTCTTAAGGAATGAGAGTGCCGAACCACTCACACCAACCACCTTGGTTCATAGGGTTTTTTTTTTATAAATAAATAAAAACACCATAGATAGTCTAAAATATAAATGAGGGAAATTTCTCACACACAAGTATGGGAGTTTGAAACATGTGAGTTAAGGCTCTTTTCTGCTGTTCTTATTTAAATGATTAGTTAATTACCATTTTACCTTCAAGAAATTAAATTGTGGTCTTTTAGCACTTTAATTAATCAAGGGTATTTTAGGAGTTTTATAAAGTTTCATCAAAAGTGGAACCCTTCTACCCTTTAGATATAGATAAAGCTTGCATTATGAAGTGGCTAGGGGTGGCATTTTAGACCGAAAAATCACAAAAATCAACCGAAAATTTACCGCAATGGAACTGCAATCGCAGGAAATCGAACCGCATTTGCGGTATAAAGAACCGAACTGCATTTGCAGTTGCGGTTACGGTATTTGATTTTCAAAACTTGCGGTTTCCGCAAACCGCAACTATATTTTATTTTATTTTTTTAAAATTGCATTTTATAGATAGCATTGGTGCTCAAACAACACAACGGGGTCCTTCAAATCCACTCACCACCACCAACACTTGAGTTTGTAACATTGGTGCATTGCATTTTCATTTTAGTTTGTAACTTTAATTAACTTTGAATTGGATTTTTCTATTGGGTTGTAACTTTAATTCATTTTGCATTGCATTTTCCTTTTGGTTTGTAACTTTAAAGGATTTGGAATTGGAATGCTTGAAAAGTTGAGGTTGTAAATGCTTGAGAAATTTAACTTTAATTGGAATGCTTAGAATTGTAACTTTAATTTTCTTTAGGTTGTGAATGCTTGAGAAGTTGACGAGGTTGTGAATTTATATATGCTTGAGAAGTTGAGGTTGTGAATTTATATTTTTGGGTTAAAGTATGCTTGAACTCAAAAGGCTTCAAAAGAAATATCAAAATTAGGCCTAAAATGTGGAAGATTGGATTTTTATGACACAAAAAGAACTTGCGGTTTTAAACCACTAATTCACAGTAACCAACCACTTTTTGTGGTTTACCGCATTGTGGTAAACTGCAAAAAGCGGTCGGTTGCAGTTTGGGCAAAAATTCGCGGTTACCAAACCGCAACCACCTCTAGAAGTGGCTGCAGCAAAATGAAATTTTGCTTTGTTCATCAGTGTCGGTTCTAGGATTTAAAAGTTACATACTAAACTCGATGGTATGAGTGGATTTCGTTAATAAACATATAAAGATACACATAATCAGAGGGACGTTTTGAGCCTTACCCTCAAATGCATCTCTATCAATAAATAAAAGTTTAACAAATACAAAAACTAAAACTAGACAACATAATCCTGAATCACACTTAAGATAATTGATATTAAAATCTTGATCATCATCAACATTTTGATTCTCAACTCTTTTAACTTGAGACTTAATAACAATGGGCGATTCGGGAAGATTTTGCCAAAGAAGAGAAATCAACATCTCAACAAAAACAAACCAATTCTCATAATAGCATCAATGCATTTAATCAAACATAACATCACAAATCAAACATCTCAAAAATACCAACAACAAATCAAACATCTCAACAAAATTCCTAAAATCAAAGCCCTAATTAATTTCAACAAAATTCCCCAATTTTAATTCATTCCTAAACCCTATAATACTCAATTTCAAATTAAAGATGTATAAGATAATTAAAAGGGAGAGAATGAGAAGAATAATTGTTGCCAAAAAGAGAAGTTATTGCTGAGAAGAGGAGAAGTTGATGTGGACAAGAGAAGTAGAGGAGAAGTTGCTGCAGAGAAGAGGAGAAGTTGCTACAGAGAAGAGGAGAAGTTGATGTGGACAAGAGAAGTAGAGGAGAAGTTGCTGCAGAGAAGAGGAGAAGTTGCTACAGAGAAGAGGAGAAGTTGATGTGGACAAGAGAAGTAGAGGAGAAGTTGCTGCAGAGAAGAGGAGAAGTTGCTACAGAGAAGAGGAGAAGTTGATGTGGACAAGAGAAGTAGAGGAGAAGTTGCTGCAGAGAAGAGGAGAAGTTGCTACAGAGAAGAGGAGAAGTTGATGTGGACAAGAGAAGTAGAGGAGAAGTTGCTGCAGAGAAGAGGAGAAGTTGCTACAGAGAAGAGGAGAAGTTGATGTGGACAAGAGAAGTAGAGGAGAAGTTGCTACAGAGAAAAGGAGAAGTTGTTGTAGACAAGACAAGAGGAGAAAAGCTGCCCATTCAATATATTTTTTGGAAAAATTTGGGTCCTGCCCTTATTACTCATTGTGTAATTTTTTCCATAAAGAAAGTGATTAGCTAATGCAAAACAAGGTTTATTTTGTTAATTTGGTTTTCACCTAGATGAAATCCAACAAGGGGCCAATCTTGAAATATCTTTCTTCTTATATTCCTATTTAGATTGGTGCACTAGATACTAAGTTATATCAGGTTTGATAGGAGTTTAAATTAGGTTATACCTAGGGCCCAAGACTTTGTGAAATAAGGAATGTTTTGAAGCCAATTGAAAGGGTTCAATTTATTTCCTTTTGCTTGAATCGTTGCTTGATGAGCTTAAAGTGTTAGTCAAGTCAACCATCGATGAGTAGAGACGACTTGACCTAACCCTATATAAGCTTATGATACAAGTGGATCCTCCGTACATAATACAATATGATATTAAATCCATATCATATTATATTACTTAATTATCATTTTATTTAATTATTATAAACCCATTAAAAGTTTGCGGTTCAAACCTAATGGATTTGAAACATTTCAAACTTAAAGCTCTTTGACAAAAGAAGAAGAAAGCAATGGCAGAAGGAAAAGGAACCGATGCAAAGATTGCATCGTTGGCCCAACAAATGGAGAAAATGACGCTGATGATGGCAAAGTTGGTGGAGGATCTTGCAAGCAAACCGCAAGATGAGATTCCTGAAGATTCCATAAGGAAGACCTCAAGAGCTAAAACATCAAAAGTTAAGAAAAAGGTGCAATTTAGTGAAGAGGAAGATTTCGATGAGGAAGAGGAGTCTGCAGAGCAGTTTGGTGCAGATCAAAGCCAAGAGAAGGAATCAGATGCTGATAAAGCTGGTAAGTCCAAAACTTCTATGAATGGTCTTAAAATTGATGTTAAGATTGATATTCCAGCGTATGATGGTGAGATCAATGCCGAGAAGTTGGATAATTGGATTGACCAGTTAGAAACTTATTATACTATTTATGAGTATAATAACCGTCAAAGGATCAACTTTGCAATGTTAAAGTTGACCAACCATGCTTTGACATAGTGGAAGGCTTATAACAAACGTTATAGTATAACGACTATGACGGGGAAAAAGTTTAAGCGAGCCATAAGAAAGCAGTTTTACCCTGTTGGCTTCGAAGAGGATATATGGTTCAAGTGGCAGCATTTGAGGCAGAGTTTTGGATAGTCGGTACAAGATTATGGAGTCAAGTTTCAAAATTAGGCTATGGTGTTGGACCTAGACTTGGAATACCATGAACTCCTTATGAAGTTTATTGGGGGGCTTGCAAGTGTATATTCGCAAAGAGTTGCGATTGTTCAAGGTTGAAGGCTTTGAAGAGGCAATAGTAATGGCAACTGCCATCGAATCAAACAACAAGAAAGTAGACAAAAAAGGAAGACAAGAAGGATTCAAGGAAATTTGAAGTTGGGAGTAGCAGTAGTAAAAATAGGGAGCAAAGTTCTGGAAAGAAGCAGACAAACTGTGAGCATTGCAACAAACCAGGTCATAGTAAAGAAACATGTTACATTCTTCATTAAAATGACGCTGATGATGGCAAAGTTGGTGGAGGATCTTGCACGCAAACCGCAAGATGAGATTCCTGAAGATTCCAGAAGGAAGACCTCAAGAACTAAAACATCCAAAGTTAAGAAAATGGTGCAATTTAGTGAAGAGGAAGATTCCGATGAGGAAGAGGAGTCTGCAGAGCAGTTTGGTGCAGATCAAAGCCAAGAGAAGGAATCAGATGCTGATAAAGCTGGTAAGTCCAAAACTTCTATGAATGGTCTTAAAATTGATGTTAAGATTGATATTCCAGCGTATGATGGTGAGATCAATGCCGAGAAGTTGGATAATTGGATTGACCAGTTAGAAACTTATTATACTATTTATGAGTATAATAACCGTCAAAGGATCTTTGCAACGTTAAATTTGACCAAGCATGCTTTGACATGGTGGAAGGTTTATAACAAAAGTTATAGAATAACGACTATGACGTGGAAAAAGTTTAAGCGAGCCATAAGAAAGCAGTTTTACCCTGTTGGCTTCAAAGAGGATAGATGGTTCAAGTGGTAGCATTTGAGGCAGAGTTTTGGACAATAGGTACAAGATTATGGAGCCGAGTTTTAAAATTAGGCTATGGTGTTGGACCTAGACTTGGAAGACCATGAACTCCTTATGAAGTTTGTTGGGGGCTTGCAAGTGTATATTAGCAAAGAGTTGCGATTGTTCAAGGTTGAAGACTTTGAAGAGGCAATAGTAATGGCAACTGCCATCGAATCAAAGAACAAGAAAGTGGACAAAAAGGAGGACAAGAAGGATTCAAGGAAATTTGAAGTTGGGAGTAGAAGTAGTAAAAATAGAGAGCAAAGTTCTGGAAAGAAGCACACAAATTGCGAGTATTGCACCAAGCCAGGTCATAGTAAAGAAACATGTTACATTCTTCATTCCGAGCTTAGGGAGAAAGAAAAAGAGAAAAGAAGTAACCGAAAAGATCTTAAAAGAGCATTGAATGCTAACAAGACTGTGGAGATTCCAAAAATGATGC